ATACAATATGTATGTGTGTGTGCGCGCGCGCGCACGCGCACAAGAAAAATATATTGTTTGTTATTAAATAAAAATAACTAGAATTTATTTATTACACTTCAATTATTACTAACGTTCATCAATATGCGTGCCATAATGTGCATAATAAAAAATTACACATATTTTAAATAAAGCACAACAAAAAAAATTGTATAAATTATGCGTGAGTACGTATAAAAGATTGGCTGAAATTATTAAAGATATTTTCATAATATTCCGATAAATTTGTTTTTAATGTAACTTTCAGTATATATTATCATCTTGTAATATATAGTCTCATAGAATTGACAAGTTGTAACAAATTTGTATTTTTCTTCCTTAAAATAATGCGAAATATATTTTTTCATTAAAAAGACATAACTGTAATCACGAATCTGTATCTTTCTAGTTAATTTTGCGATAATTATTCATCACTATAATTTGAAAGAATATGTGCGCATAAAGTAAATCTCATAGCTTTCTATTAGGGATAAAGCAGACGATATTGGAAAAAGAAAGTATCAACATTATTTACAATAAATAAAAACTATTTTAATTACAATTTTTATTTCTATACTTGACGTGTAAAAAATGGATATTATTTCATAAGCCATTCCTGACAACGTGTCCTACTAACAGGAGTATTTACCGTTTTGATTCTTATTTTTCGCAAACTATAAAAAAATATACGATTTATGTAATGTGTGCATATATATGTACATATATTTATACACGTAGAAAGAGATGAAATATATATTAACAAATATCGAATATATATTAAATATTTGTTTCTAACAAAATTGTTCTCTCAAGAAACATGTAACTAGTCAGAAGTTACATGTTTAACGTTTCTAAAAAAAAGGCATCTAAATTTTGTTCATTTAGTTATTAGTTTACATTTGTTATGGCACTGTTAAAATGATTTTATAAAATTTATGCCAGCCCTTCTTCATTTTCTTATATATTTTTTCATCAGTATTTTACAACAATTGGTCATCATTATGTTGCCTCACAACTATACTTGTCCTTCACTTCTTCACTACTCGTCCTTAAATGATTGTATTAACAATGAACGAAACAAATGTGGTACAGTATATACAGTACACATACATCACATGAAATTTTCCTCATTCGTTCCATTAAGTCAAGTTAACATTACTACATCAAGTCAAGTATTACTATTGTATTGTAGATATGCAGGGTTTCACGTTTTAACATAGGGTGAAGCAACATTTACTACTTTTTCAACGTGACGAAACATGATTTAATATGACGAGTGAACAAGAAAAGATGTAGAATATTGTGATTTGCGCAAAACTTTTTTCTTTCCTCTCTAAATTTTAGAAAGATTCATAAATATCACATTTACAAACGTTACAAATAATATAAAATTATTTTATTAGATATTAAAATAATAGATATATTGTGCGATTTTAAGGTTAATATTAATATTTGCATTTTCTTTTGTCACATGAAAAAGAAGATAAAATAAAAATATAAAATCAAAAACAAAATAAAGATAAAAATTGTGCCAAAAGCTAACAATAAAGAAAACTCATTAATAATTTAATATTTTATGCCATATGATTAAAAAAAGATTCTTTTATTAACATTACTTTTTC